CATTAGTTTTGGAAACTGGGATCATTATTACAACTACTTATTAGCATCTTAGTTTTAATATTAATAATTCCTTAGGGGCCAGAGAGTGGTACAGTAGAAAAACACAACGTTCTGCAAGGCTGACCAACACGGAAGAGCTCTCCCTGGTATCCTGTGCCCAGTTTCTGGGGCTGGCTGAAGCTGGGGGTGCATTGTGGTACCAACACCATGTTGGGAGGTACTGTCTCTTGCTCATGGAAGAAATAAATACTTAATTTTTTTTCTTTAATTTCATTAAATAATGAGTCTCAATTTGCAGTTGTTTGAGAAGTCCTAAGATTTTTCTTTATAGTTTTTTTGGGGTCTAAATTAGGATCCAAATAAGGTCAGTATATTTTAACTAATTAATTTTTTCTTGTTCTATAGATTCTCCTGCCCTTCTCTAACTCTTTTATTTCTTGTACTTTATTTGGTGAAGCTATTAGGCTGTTGAATTTTGTTCACTACAACTATGTTCCTCTGTCTTTTGTATGTCCTGTAAATTGCCATGTCTAGAGGCTTGACTGGATTCAGATTTAATTTGGGGAGGGGAGGGGACAGGGCTGATTTATGGTGAGGTTGTATTCTTCCATTACGAGGCACTCATTTGTCTCTTTCTCCAATATCTGCAGACTTGGATGATCAATCCCAGATCTAGTAATTTATTAGTTATTGAAAAATGATACTCTGAGCTGTGTTTTTACAAAGCAAAGCCCTCAAGGGGGTAAGTGAAGTATATTTGGCCGTTTGCCCCCAAACCAAATGACCTGCGCTTATTGACTTTGTATCTCTAATGTGGCCGTTTCTCTGCACCTCTTCCCTTAGTAGTCACATATTGATGTTTTCAGCATGTGCTTGCCATTCACAGCTCCTTCATCTTTTTTGATTTGTTGCTTCTAATCTGTTCTATCAACTGGGGCCAGGCAATTAAGTTCACTGTAATGATACAAACACAATAACAGAGACCAGAGGGCTCGTTTAACAGCTATGGGATAAGCTCTAGCAGGCACACTGAGTGACTGATTTCTGGGTCCTTGGCTATGTCATGACTATTCAAGGTTAACTGGCCTCTGGGCATTCATCTGAATTAGTCAATTTTTCCTCTATAGACTTTCCATTCCCTAGAGAGATCTAACACCACATTACTTTCAGACCTTATCTCTGGGTCCCTTATAGAAATTTTTCTCTCTTTATTCTCCTGTTATATCCCGGTGCCAAGCACATATATGACAAGTGTTGAACAGAGAACTAGTGACGAGTAAATGAGTTAACAACAACCTTCAAATATATCTGCTGTGTACAAATTACCTTGCATGGTAAACCTGACGAATTTCCTTAAAACTGAATTTCTACTGTGTTATTTTGATGGCTCAACATTCCAAAGGTTTCTGCTGCCCGGTTATCCTTCCCACATTACAGACCTTCTTCCTGTCTCTGTCATCTCCCTACCTGTCTCTATGTCTCTTGTCCACACCACTGACCACGCCTGGAACTCTCTCTACTATTCTCACGGACTCCCATCCATCTTCACTTTAAAACACAGACTAAATCCTATTTTCTCAGTTTAATATCCTTATCATTTCAACCTATATTGACCCTACACTTCCCCATGCTAATATAGCAAGGAGTTCCCGTAAAAAGCAACTTTTCCACTTTCCACAGTTAAAGCACTAAGTAGGTGTAAATAAGTAATTACATGAGGATTTGTGGTGGAGATACTTGACACCAAGAGGATTTAAAAGACAAAAAGTGTTTGAATGATTCCAGCTACAACACTTAGGATAAAGCTAAATTAAATGAATGAAATCAGTATAAATCAATGAAACTCTAAACTTTTCCACCTAAAAGTACCTTTAGTGAAAGAGGCTTCTAAGTTTATATCCCCTAGTAGAGAGTGGTTATGGTATGAGAAAACTCACCAGTATGAAACGTTTTTTGAAGATCTATGTTTTATCATAAAATTAGTACAAATTTTCAAACTATTTAATAATAAATTGACTGTCATTAGAAAATAAGCTTCTCTTCACTTTTCCCCAACATTAGAAGTTATAAGAATAGTGCCTATTTAATCCTTCCAGCACCTCCTGACACCATCACATATGCCAGAAACTGTGCCTACTTCATTTAAGGATGGAGAAAAATCAAAGATAAAGTGTAAGACAGAAAAACGTCACTGCTTTGTAAGTTTATGATTTTTTTTTCATGATGCTACAAAGGAATATGTTCTCCAGGATTTATAAAAAAGCCATAATTCACAGTTTAAAAGCAGTGTGTTGGGCCTTGGAAGAAATGTGGCAACAAATGAGGCAACTTGCCCATGTGTCATGGGCAGAGGTATTCGGTGTCCAACTTGCAGCTTCACATGAGAGAGTTAAAGAGGTGACAGATTAAGAAGAGAGAGACAGTAAAAATCATGGTTTTCAGGAAGGAGGTGGTAAGAATCAGGCAGCAAAGGGCTACGATGCCTGCCCTCCTTACAGTCTGTTTAGATGTGAGCTGTTCATTATGGTAGCCGCTGATCACATGCACCTTTCAGAGACTACGTGCTTGATAAAAGGCTTCACTGTCAGGGTTTCCACCCCCTGATCCTAGGAAACGTCCGACCTCCCTGGTCTTGGGTGGTCAACAGGATTACTGAGTAGTTCTGCAACAGCCTCAGTGTCAGGAACAAGGACTACAAAGAGTCAGCTTCCGTGGCATGTCAGATAGGCAGCACACGGCATGGTTAGGAGGGTGGGCTCTAGAATCAAATTTACTGAGATTTGAATCTCTTTATGACCAGTACAAACAGCTGATCTCAGGCAAGTTACTCACTACTGAGTGCTTAAATTGTGTCATTTGTAGAAAGGTATAAAAACAGGATCTCAGGGCCAGTGTGGCACAGCATCAGGATACAGTGCTCTGTGGGGCACTCTCACATGGAAGGGTTCTCAGTTCAAGTTAACAGACTTCCCTGAGTACATGATCTGGGGCTGGCTGGGGGCTGGGGATTGACGGCAGCCTTGGGACCCTGTTGAGGGTTCTTTTTCTCTTGCTCACTCATAGAATAAATGAACACACACTCACACGTGCACACACACACACATGTACACATACACACACACACAAAACAGGGCCTGCTCCATGGCCTGGTGTTTGAGGCTACTAGATCCCATATAGCTGACCTCTCGGTTACAGTCCTGGTCCCAGCAGCTGGAGAAACATGCTGGGTACAGGCACGTGCATGCCCCAAATCCCAAAAGGAAAGACAGATGAAAGAGAAGGGTCTGCAGTGTGATCATTCCTTATGGGGGACGCTTTTATTTCTCTCTCTCTCTCTGGTGAGCAAAAGTACCCTCCAGCAAAAAGAAAAAAGAAAACTAGTATCTACAGGTTTTAAAGACTGAATAAGGTCACACAGGTAGGTTTACCACAGGAGCTCAGCACGTGCCGTTACTGTGATACCTACAAGGAGGGGCACTGGGCAGTAGTCCAAAGAAACCTTTATCCGTTTTGTTCTCTAAATTATGCTGGCTTTACTTCTAGAATTAACTCATACTACCCCTAGAATTAGATAGTGGTAGATCTTACAAACCAATTGTCAGTCAGTGTTGGCCACTCTCTGTGTAGGAAACCGTTAAAAGAAAAAAATAGCAAATTTAATTGAGTGGAGTTTTAATTGAGCACATTTTTAACACGATTTGAATTGTGCAGCTATCGCTGACCAACTTCTGGACACTCTGCATAGCCTCGTGGTCACACAGTATTTAAGTTCTGGAAAAGGAAATTGACGTGTACAGGAATGGGAAAGTGATGTACAAAAACAGAAGTGATGAGGTGGAGAAACAACTTGAGTTGGTTACATTTCAAAGTTTGTGGGATAAGCAGATGGCATAATGGTTACATTGCTGGACTGCCAGGTGGTTGACCAGGGTTCAAGTCCTGGACCTGGGGGCTTAAAACTCACATGGGACACATGTGCATGTGTGCCCAAAATCCTGAGAGGAGAATGGAGCAGAGGGGATTGCAGAGTGGGGAGTGATTTCTTGCTTTCTGTCTCTCAGGCAAGTGCACATGCCCCGTAGCAAAAATCACTCTTAAAAATAAAAAAGTTTGTCTACATTAACACAGTCCAAAAGGCAGGATGCCTGTGATTAACTGAAGTCTAGCTGCCGTGAATGGCTGTAACCTAGCAAGAAAGAAAAAAATAATGAGGGCGCAATTTGTTTACAGAAACCAAGTAGGAGTATGGAGGCTTTTCCGATATTCAACAGAAGCTATCTTACTTCATAAACAAATACCCAAAATGAATAAAGGCTAACCATCTAAACTTTAAGAATGAAACGACATGCTAAGTTTTCATATTTTTGAAAACATTACCCAAATGCTAGAGCATCCTTACACATCTTGGCACTACACCAACATCAGGCCAGCCCTCCAACAGCCACCTTGTAAAGACCTCTGCAGACAGGCTGGAATTCTGGTACTCGTGAGACTAGGTCTCTGACAAGTGACACTGGAACAATTTCAACAAATGCTTAATAAAGCATCAGAATGCCTCTAAGATTATAGTCAGGAAAGTTATAGTGAATCAAGGAAGTCCTTAGTAAGAGTCTGGACTTCTTAAATAGCAATATATATTTTTAAATGAACTTCTTTATTTATTATGATTATTTTACTCTGCTCTTTGCCATGACCAAAAAAAAAAAAAAATGTAATTAGCAGTATGAATAATTAGTTAGATGGTGACCAGATGGTACAAATGAAGGACACCACCTAAGGAGGAAGTGCAAATGGAAACAGCAGGTGTCTAACCAACATGTCTGGGGAATGTCAATGCCATCAGGTTACATCACCGTGTGAATCCGGCCATCCACATGCACAAGGACAAAAACACTAGTAAGAGACTTCCCATCGCCACTTCAGGAAGCAGAGCGGGGTGAACGCTCTGGCCAATAACCAGCCACAGTCTACCCAGCCTCTGCTGTGGTCCCAGTACATACCTGTAACAGACACTGTCAGTGCACGGGTTATGGGCCCTGACAACGACAAAAACGTGCTGAAAGTGGGATCGAATATTTTTTGGGCTGAATGGCTGTGCGCCAGGCTCTTGGAAAACAATTGTCACAATATCATTCCCAATGTGCCGTTTCCGTAGGAGCTGCAAGAGAAAATAAACAACCAACCTAAATAAATGACAATGTGACACTTTTTTCTCCTTAATTCCCTTATGGAACTGTATTTAAAACAGATCAGTACAACATTAGGGTAAGTAATCTACACAGTCATTGTCAATATGTTAGCCTGCCTTATTATTCCTTCCAAAGAAGAATACTAAAATTAATATTCTAAAATTTGCATAAACGATATAGCCATTCAAATGCATCTAACCAATATCTGGTATATTACGCCAAGTCCCAGCATCTCCAAATCCTCAGTTTCCATAACAACAGTTTTGTTCATTTTCATATAAGGAACTTTCCACAAGGAAGATTTTTAGACATGAGAAAGGCTGAAATAATTAAAATGCAATTTATGTTCCAGTTTAATTGGTTTCATTTAAAGAAAATGTGGCTACAGTGTTTTTTGATGTACTTTTTGTGTCACAAGCCAGTAATATAGAAATTAATAATATTCTAGTATGTTGTAACACTTTAAAAGCAGGTTAAATTCCAAGTTTAAACAGCTTCTTTAATTACAGTGAAGCTGCTTGGGACCACCTTCTGTTTCACACTAAAGGAGTTTTGAATGGGTGTCTTTCAAATTCAGACACCTTAATCATCCTAGACCACTGCCTTTTCAGGAGGTTTGTATAAGGTAGTTTAATTCAGCTGTGTAAAGAAAAACTGAGTGATAGTTTTCTTACAGTTAGTTTATAGAGGCTCTTGAAAGAGAAAAACAACGAAATGTGACATTTATATAAAGTATCCATTAGATGTAAGCTTGCACTTACAAAACTCATATTTTAAAATCCTCTAGTGACATTAAGGCACACAAATTACATATCAATAAAATCAGTGATCTAGCATTGGCTGCCAGCTGTAAGAAACAAAAGCCTTTTAGATTAGGGCTGAGAATTGGGAATTAGAATGTTCAGGAAATGTACTTTTAACCTCAGAAATTTGAAAGCATCCCAAATGATAGAGATAGGATAATTTGATAATAAATTATAGGGATGCCTTCTAATGAGGCAGCTTACTTTATTTCTAAACATGACATCTAATCACATCTTATGGAATAAAGGATGGTCTGTATTAATTACTATACAAAATATACCAATAATTAAAGATTATTAAGCAGGCGAGCAGGAGGCACAGTGGTTAAGGTGCTGAACTCGTACATCGTTGACCATGGTTCAAGTCTTAGACCTGGCAGTTTGCTTTCTCACTCCTCCCCCCAGCCTCTCTCTGGTGAGCACATGTGCCCTATAGCAAAATTTCAAATGATCGAAATGAATAAAATAAATACAATTTTTTAAAAAAGAGATATTTTTGTTGTAGGGCGTGTGCTCGCTAGGGAGACAGAAAGACAGAAAGCAAGAAATCACTCCCCAGGGGGAATGGTCACACCACAATCCCTTCTCTGCCATTCTCCTCTTGGAATTTTGGGCACGCACACACACATGCCCAGAGTGAGTTTTTAGCCACCAGGTCCGGGACTTGAACCACAGTCAACTACGTGGGAGTCCAGAGATGTAACCATTATGTCATCTGCTGATCTCAATTTAAAATTCTTTAAAAAGGTTATTAATCTACTCAAGATCTCGGATATCCCAAACAAATACTATTTATCTACTTATTTTATCATTCTTGCATAGATGGTAGAATTGTCTTTTTTTGTACAGTGTCCTTCTTTTTTCAAAATATGGCTTGATTAGAAAAATTAATATCTTAATATGGACCCAAACAGAAACAAATCCATTTATCCATCTCACACTATATATAATAACATTTATAATATTTTTATAATGTAAAAAGATTTTAAAAGCAACACTTTTTTTTATTAATGCATAAAATAATCTACATAGAAGAAAATAAGGTCTTTGGCCAGTTGCATGGCCTAGTGGTTAAGGTAGCTGGAGCCCACATGGCCAACTGCACAATTCAAATCCCAGGTCTGGTAGCTTGAAAAGTATGTTGGACACAGGTGTGCCCAAATTTCCAACAAGAGGAAGAAATGAGGAGAAGGAACTGTAACATGACCACACTCCATGGAAGATGTGCGAGGGGTGTTCTCTCTCTACTCCCACCCTGTTTCTGTCTGTCTCTAGCGAGTGGTCTTTGGTGAAAGAGAGAGAGAGAAAGTACTGTTATATTTTTTTGTCTACTGACAGGCCACACTAAGAAGTCTAGTGTATCTTTCTTAGCATAGTGTCCTTTTCTCAGAGAAATCAAGACCTTTGAGCCAGAAGGTGATGTGGTTAAGGTGCTAGATTGGCACATGATCAGCCATGGTTTCAGTCCCAGACCCAGTGGCTTAAAAAAATCACACTGGGCACATGTGCGTGTCCAAAATCCCAAGAGGAGAATGGAGGAGACGGGCCTGCAGTGCAGTGATACATCCCCACTGAGGGGTGATTTCTCACTTTCCCTCTCCCTACCTCTCTCTCTCTCTATGGAGAGCACACGTGCTGTACAACAAAAGCCATTAAAAAAAAATAAAACCTTGGAATTTATACAAAACAAATTGTCAACAAAATCCAGATCAGGAAGTTTATCTTAAAACAGGCTTATTTCAGATTGACAGCTGATTCTTTGCTTTGCTTCCTATTGTTGATTACCTTGGTTATCATGAAAGGCAAAATTCTGCCACTCAGATTTCTGACTTAATCAAACCTAAAGTGAAGTGCTAGATTAGATCTAACGCTGTGTGGTTAAATTCTGTGAAAGAGGACGTGATTCATTGTGCAGCTGCCTGTGTTCTGTTAGAACAACAATGGACAATAACAAAAATCTATACCCATATTAAGGTCAGCAGTAAAACCTGACTGCTCATGTTTGAAACAGCTATTGAAAGGGGAGTTTTGTTAGCTCTCTTGTCCTTTTAAATTTCAGTTTGGGCCCAGCTGGGTGACCCAGGCAGTAGGGGAACTCTGTGTGATGCTGGAGCCAAATGAGAAGGCTCAGACTGTGCATTCTGGGTTGTCTTGAGCATGCCAGACATGCCTATGGATGTACCCATGATGTTGGTTGGCTTGAAGGCATAAGGGGAGATTGCAGTGTGGTGAGACCCTATTGAGCGAACCTGTCTCTTTTTCTCTCTCAATAAATAAACTTCAAAAAACCCTTCAGTTTGGCATCATTTATTTCTAAATATTTTTAAGGCCCAGCATAGATGGCACAGTATGTAGTATACTGAACTACAGGGCGGGAAGCCACATGACCAACCATGTAGTCAGATGTCTGGGTTAGCTGAAATCTCACTGGCTGCATGCACAGGCACCCAAGATCCTGACAAGCTGAAGGGTCAGGTAAGGGGATTGTAGCATGACAAGAACCTGTGGGTGGTACCCTCTGCCCCTCTCTCACATGTATACACATGCACATACACACACACACACACACTCACACAATTACTTAAAAAAATAATATTTTTAAGTAATTACCACATCTTATCTAAAACAACACTGACAGTTTCTATTTTGCTCTGTAACAATTTGTCTCTCAGTTTCCGAATCTTTCTAGCTCACATTTTAGTAATTAGGCACTGTGCTTTTAAAGAAAAACTGTATGGCATGCTCACACACAATCATTATTTATGTTCTTTGCTATCTCCTGATGAACATGTTAAGAAAGAATATTGTTCTGAGATTCCACTGACATTTATTTTGACTCTTCTGCAAGTTAGTATACTTAACCTCCTTTGAAATGCCTGCTTTGTGCAGAGGCCTCCTGAGATGAAACTTCACCCACTGTTACATGTTTTTTGCAATCCTGTGGAGTCATCTAATCACCATGATTTCAACTTGTTCACTTCAGATTTCATGAAAACCTCAATCCCCGTGGGTGAAAAGTAAATGATTAATTCACAAAGCCATCCAGCTGGCTGTTAACCTAGAATCTGTGTCTCTTCATTTGTTTTCAGCTCATTTGCTATTCCTTACTTCCACAAAGCACAAAGCTTCCTGCTGCTGTGACAGGTGCAACACTAAATTCTGGCTTAAGATTTTATAAACTTACCACTTAGGCTTCTGGGGGAAATGAAACTAGGGTGAAAACACAGATCACACAGGCTCTTACCTGTTGCTTGTTGTTAGGCGTGTATGGCAGCATGGTAGAGACATGAAACATAATTTCATAGTCTTTGTATGTTGTATACAGAGAATGGGTTCCAGTGGAGTCAGCTGCAGTTAAAAAATACACACATATAATGATGAGATGACTGTACAAATAGAAAAAAACATTATTCATTGAAGAGAAATATCTCAAAAAGAAAGAAAGAAAGAAAGAAAGAAAGAAAGAAAGAAAGAAAATGATTTAGGATAAAAAGGTCCTAAACAAGACCAGATAAAGAAAAAAAAGAAAGAAAGAAAGAAAGAAAGAAAGAAAGAAAGAAAGAAAGAAAGAAAACGATTTAGGATAAAAAGGTCCTAGACAAGACCAGATAAGACTTATTCTTACCCAATTTTTTTTTTTTGGGTACCTGAGGTTTGGCAGAATACTGAAGCCTATGAATTGGATCCCTTCTCAGAATAATATTTCTAAGTGTACAATATAAAATATGTAAGATTTCAAAAGAAATGAGTTATACTGAAAACGCCAATCAAATAAAACTATGATTTGCACAAGACCTACAAAATTTATATTAGAAAAATTAGCAGCTGGTTAATAATTACTGTAATTTTAAAGGTGCTGCTCAGGACAAGCAATATTGTAGGATACCTGCAACAATAAATAATATTAAAATATCTGGGCTTTGGGAGGCCAATAGATGGCGTGGTGGTTAAGGTGCTGGATTCACATATGGCTGATCGCTGTTCAAGTTTTGGATATGGTGGCTTGCTTTCTCACTTTCTTTTCCTCTCTCTCTCGCTCTAGTGAGTGAACATGCCCTATAACAAGTTTTAAAAAATAATAGTACTTGGGAACCAGCAGTTAGCGTAATGCCTATGTTGCTGGACTCCCACGTAGTTGACCGTGGTTCGCATCCCGAACCCGGTAGCTTAAAATCCACACGAGGCGCATGTGCATGCGTGCCCAAGATCCTGAGAGGAGAATGGAGGAGAAGGGTTTGCGGCGTGGCCATCCCCTCTGGGGGGTGATTTCTCGCCTTCTGTCTCTCTGTTGCTCTTTTGTCTGTCTGGCGAGCGCACGTGCCCTATAGTAAAAAACCTCTCAAAAAAAAAATTAGGAAAAATAATAGTACTAAATGAAATTAAATAAATAGTTCTTTTGAAAAAATCTGTGTTTTCTATTGGCAATGAAATCACAAATGAGGGTTAGGTTTAATACACTACTGTAGCCTATGTTTATAATTGAAGAAGAAGCTAAATTTCAATTTGAGATCAGTGAAAATAAATATAAAATGATTTTCCAATCAAGTTTATAGATTCCCGAATCCTGTCCGCAAACATTAAGCTAAGATCCCCCCCTTTTTAAGAAATCATCCCCCCCGCACCCCCAAGGAGATGATCACACTTCAATCCCGTCTCCTCCATTCTCCTCTTGGGATTTTGGGCATACATGCACATGTGCTGAGTGTGAGTATTAAGCCACTGGGTCTGGGACTCAAATCGCGGTCGACTACATGGGAGTCCAAAGACGTAACCATTATGCCATGGTTCTGCTGGTCCCAAGAACCCCTTTTTTAATACTTCCATTTCAAGCAAAATGATGGTAATTTAACCAAACTATAACACTATGGAGGAATGTAATAATGGCAGCGTCTGAGAATTCTTTTAAAGGCTTAATTGTGTATTATGTAGTCATTTTCCTTAACAAAAACCTAACTCGACTGCCTTAATCATTAGCAAAGCTTCAGAATCACTGTGCTCACAAATAACTGGAAATCAGAGGAGAAAATTAGTAGCCACCCACTGAAAGGGTCTATCTGCTTAACTTGAAGGATCTGGACCTACAGGTTATAACAAGCAGTACATTCATTCTGGGTAAACTTAAAGCTTCCATCGGCCTTATTTTCTGAGGAACAAAACACTTTACTATGTTTCAGAGATGGCTCTGTAAGACAAAGCCTCTTGCAAATACCAAAATGCAGTATTCCTCAAAATTCAGAATGCACATTGTCACCAAGGGAGTTCAAAAGGCAAATTCCTAGGCCTCATCCCCAGAAATACTGCTCGGTACCTATGGGACCTCTCACAGAAAAATCTATTTTTAGTAAATACCCTAGGTAACTAACGCAGGAGCTCCACTGCCCCTAAGAACTGCTCCTAGAATAGACTACAACCCTGATTTCCAGATAGCTTCCTAAAAATGTCCTAGAGTCCAGAGTTTTAAGTTTGAGCCTGGGGAAGGTGTTTTCTTCTGAAGTCAACATAAAATACAAAGGTTCTAGAATAAGTTAAAAATACAACACGGCAAAGAATATTTTTTCTAAAATTGCCACAATATGTATCAATACGTAACTCCCTAACGAAAAAATGTCTTCTACATGTTAATGACCCTCACCTCAAAAAACTGCACATTACTACAATGAAGCTCAGTTAAAACTACTGAAGACAGGTCTTCAGAATGAAGAACTTGTCTATTGTTCAGGGCCCTTGCTATAAATATCTGTAGAGCTGATTAGTACATTTTAAAACCTTAAAGGGAATGTGTCAGCTTTGACGTGTACTTACATGTGCTTCTAGTCAATTTTAAGCAAAATTAATGAGCTAGGAGAAAAGACTGTCATCTGGTATTCATTTATTACATTTTGCTTTGTATGTCAGTATAATCCTAAAAAGATTACTGCCAGAGAGGAAAGTTGATGTGGGAGAATCTTGAAGATAATTTGTTTTTCTGCTTCTAGATCCTCTTCTCTTTCTCTGCCTTACTTTATACAGTATATTTCTGCTTCTAGATCCTCTTCTCTTTCTCTGTCTCATTCTATACAGTATATGTATATTATTTGACTAGTCTTTTTCAGGGGAACCTTGCAAACCCCAGAGTTTTGTGGATAATTTTCCAAAGTTTGAGAAATAGTTTCAAACATTTTAGAGATGAAACTAGAGCCAAAACAATAAAATGCTGGAACTACTATGTACATAATGGAATTATAAAACTTTACCAGGAAAAACAGAAAAAAAAATTGTTTCCTCTATTTTCTAGAGAATAAAACATCCAAGTTCTTCTTATATTTTTAGTGGTCATGAAACCATCGAAGTTTTAATACAATGACAATCAGGAAGATAAAAATTAATAAAAAAAATGCTTTCTTATTTGGTTTGAGAATAATATATGCATAATAGTGTATGTGTGAGTGTGAGTGTGTGTGTGTGTGTGCATGTGTGTCTGTTCAGCAACCTCTAAAGGATAAATATGCCTGGAGAAGAATGGTGAAAAGATAATACTTCTTTATATTTGTATCAAACTTCAAAACTTAAAAAGTAAATTCAGGCCAAACCACCATCTTCCAGTAATACACCAAAATGACCAACAGAATTAACAGAACGGGAAAGAGGAGAGGCACCTGATGTATGTTCTTCTAGGGAGTGGTTCTTTTGGCAACATACATGTAAATCTACAAGAAAGGTGATATTGTAAACATGGAGGGAATGTTACTGCTAGAAAAAGAATGTCCCACAAATGCTACCTTGGCAAAACTTGGAGATTCTACAACGTTACCCAGTGTGCTGTTGGCATTGCTGTAAATAAACAAGTTAAGGACAAGATTCTTGCCATGAGAATTAATGTGCACATTAAGCATATTAAGCATTCTAAGAGCAGAGACAGCTTCCTAAAACATGTGAAGGAAAATGACCAGAAAAAGAAGGAAGCCAAAGAGAAAGGGACCTGGGTTCAACTGAGGTGCCAACCTGCTCCACCTTAGAGAAGCACACTTGTGAGAGCCAATGGAAAGGAGCCTTTGCTTCTGGGGCATATTCTCTATGAATTCATGGCATCATGGGCATTAAAAATAAACTAAACTGGAGGAGGGCGGAGATTTCTCACATTCTATTTCTCTGCCTCTGTCTCTCTGGCGAGTGCATGCACCCTATAGCAAAAATCTCAAATAAATAAATAAATAAATAAATAAATAAATAAATAAATAAATAAATAAATAAATAAATAAATAAATAAATAAATAAATAAATAAATAAATAAATAAATAAATAAATAAATAAATAAATAAATAAATAAATAAATAAATAAATAAATAAATAAATAAATAAATAAATAAATAAATAAATAAATAAAATAAACCATGGTCTAAAAGAAAAAAAAAGTAAATTCAGGCATTATAAAGGCCATCCTGGCAATCACATGATCCAACTCTGAATCACATTACATTGAGTAGCACGTATCATGAACACACTCTCTCTGCACTCTACAGTTAAGTACTAGAAAGCAAAGCCTCTGATATTTAACCAGATGAACATAAGATGCCGAATACCTGAGAACTGATAGTAATCATACTCCCTTCAGATACTTTGAAAAGATGTAAACAAGTAATAATATCCTACATTAAGCATAACTATTTGAAAATGGTGCAAACAGGCTGAGTTTACAGGAGCAGTTTCAAGTATGACTAATGTCATGATCAGCCTTGACTTCTCTTTTGGCTCAACTCTTTTGCTTTTAGGTAGTCTAAACCTTGAGTGACAGAGATGTACGTGATGAAACTGAATCAGGAAAAAGTAATTACTTTCATTTAATTATTTCTTGGGCACTAAAGGAAATGTCTGAGTTACAGAAAGCTAGATAGAGAAAGGTCTATGCAATTTGGTTTTTGGAAAGTTCCTAGTCTTCAGGGTTTATGGACACAAGGAGGAAACGAACCTTATTAAGCAAATGCATATTGACTAATAAAGCCAACAGAACAAAGAAAGTTTAAGTTTAGTTTATTAATGACTTTACCACTACAGAATGCATCGAATGCAAGATATCACAGATAGGTTGTGGATCTGGTCCTCATCCATAGTCTGAAGTGTAATGAAAGTCGGTTGACTGCTGGGGGCCTTCCATTTGAGACCTTTATGGTGGAATCAGGTGCAGACAGATTGCACATCTGTGCAGCCTTGCCTGAGGTCTGGAAATGCTGAAGTCAATGCTCAGAAACACAGCTGAGGCCCCGTGTTCATTTCCAGAACACTGGCATGTATCTGAGATGTAGCCCACTTTGACTACATTGTACTATTTCATTCCCTAATGACATATTTGGGAAAGTCACAAATTCCACTTG